TAAAACGTGGACATCATACAACGGAATATACTGGAATGCAAACAGAAACGGGCTGACTTTGTTCGGAAGGGCAACTTGCTTGGAGATGAGCTGATGAGGAGCTACGTAAGAAAGCTTCCTTTTCCTTGGCATTTATGTTAAAGCTAAGTGCAGTCCAGGAGGCAGGCTCAGCCCAGGGTTCACGTGGAAAACCTCTCCGGTTTTCTTATCTGGGGAGCCAGGAAAATGAAGGCAGGAGATTTGAATGCATAAGAAATGAAGAAATCCTAGAAGGGAAGAAGCCAGAGAGGGTATCCCCAAACTCTTCCTGCTCAGTTTTCTGACAGATCCTGAACCACTTGAAACAGAATCACAGTAGTTCAGTTAAAAACAGTTGATCTGAACTGCCACCAGAACTGTCCCCCAAGAAATAGAGTTTGTAGTTCGAATCCAGCCAAGAAAGTTACCTACCAACACATAGGAAATAACATTTATCATAGAAAAACAATAGAATCCAAAACCTCCACAATTTATCATTGATAAAGTCCAAGATATGATTCAAAACTACTGACATATGAAAATAAAGAAAATGGACCACATTTTCTAGAGGCCAACCCTGAGATGAATCAGATGTTGAAAATGACAGGTAGAGATTTGAAATTAACTATTAGAACTATCCTAAATGAACTAAAATAAAATGTGTTTTCAGTGAATGAAAATCTCAGGAGACAAATAGAAGAACTCAGCAGAGGAAAAGAAAAAACATAGAAGTTCTAGAACTGAAAATTAAAATTTCAGAAATAAAAAATTTCACTGGATGGATTTAACAGCCAAATTACAGAGTGGATAAAAGTGAACTTGAAGGTAGAGCAATAGAAATTATCCAAAGTGAACAACACAAAAAAAGTCTTAAAAAATTAACAGAGCCTAGTATATGATATCTAACAACCCAACATACATATCAGTAGAATACCAGATGGAGAAAAGAAAGCGAATGGGGCAAGAAAAATTTTGAAGAAAAAAAATTTCCCCAAATTTGATGAAAGAAATTTCCAGGTACAGAGTGCTAAATGAACACCAAGTAAAATGAACACAACCAAGTCCACCCTGAAGTTAAACTGTTGAAAGTCAGATGTAATTTTAAATGCGTCTAAAGAAATGCAATATATTACATGCAGGGAGAAGAAGTGCATCTACTCCTGAATGTGATGTAAAGCCACACATGAAGATTCATAAGTTTCCCTAGAAAGTATTGCATTGAATTATCATTAACCTTTGTCTCCACAAAGCAGCTGCTAAGCCCTAAAGAAGCAAATGGCACTGAAATAAGTAGGCTCTTTGAAGCACTGACATTGACGTTAATTCAAGTAATTAGAAGTGAATACATGTTTCTCTCTGACCTCTGAAGATCCCAATCAGTTCACATGATGGTATTTATAGAAGTATTAAGGGCACTTTGTTCCTAATGTGAATTGAGGGGAAATTTTATAAATTAGTAAGGAGATCCAATCAAATTAGGTACTATGTGAACACAGCTCAACCGTCTTCAGGGGAAGATTTTTCAGCTCAAGCTTAAGCAAAAAAACAAAAGGGGGGAGGGGAAGTGTTGGGGAATCCCAGAAGGACGCAGAAAGAACCGTAAACTGAAAAAACAACAGGCAAATGGTACTTTTTGGCATATAGATGATACTCTATTGCTTACCAAAAAAGCATGCTATATTTAAGCTTGCATATTAAATGCTTCTGACTTTTCATGTCTATTAAAAAGAGTTGAAGAATGAATCAGACTGTCTCTTAACTTTCATATTAAGTAATGGACATTTATAAATAAGACTTGATGATTGGGAATAGCTAAGAAAGAAAGTATTTAGGGACACAAACACAACCTAGTATTTAAAGTACCAGAATCAAAATGAGTATTGTGGCAATCTAGGGTGAAATCCACGGAGAACAGGTTAGAGTTTCAGCTTTTGACAGACTGTAGGATTTCTCCTTTTATAACTGCTTCAGTAGTTCACGATAGTAGAGAGTCAAAGTGGTTAGGAAAAAAGCTAGGTAAGTAACAACAGTAAAATCCCCCTGAGTATACTGGTGTGATCAAATTCTATGTAATCTGGCACTTGCTCTACTGATTTCCCATCTTGATGTCTGAGCCAGACCACTTTACTCCCACCAAAAATAATCTCTATTGTCTAGGCAGAGACATATTAATTCAGTGAGAGTCTCAAGAGGAAAAAATAAACTTTGAATTGTAATGTGAATATTTAGTGTAAGAAAAAGAAATGTTTTTCCATTTCAAACAAATGTGTACAAACTTAAAATATATCCCCATATCTCATTTAGAAGACTAGATGCATCAAATTGTATTCACTCCTTCGTTCCAACATAAACTCAGTGTCTGCCCTGTGCCAAGACACAGGGGAGGGAAATGCATGGATAATTAAGATGTATCATATGAACAAATAAATATAATAAAGTGGTATGTGTTATGGTGGAAAAGGAGGATAAGGAAGGGTGTGAAGACAGTTAGGAAATGCTCGTTAAATAAATGCCTTTTAACTTAGTAGTATGTTTTACGAGAAGAACAGAAGTCACAAGAGAATGGAGAGGTTGGTTAGGGTTATAAGGAGGCAGAAATTTGAAGGGGAAAAAAAAGGAAAGCTAGGAGAGGACTGACTTGAGTTCATATCTTGAGGGAAAGGATAGAGAGAACCAGTTGAAGATCCAGTAGAGAGTGAAACTAAATGGAAAAAACAGTATGGAGTTTTCTCAAAATTTAAAAACAGGCCCATCCGGTGTGGCTCAATGATTGTGCATCTACCTATGAACCAGGAGGTCATGGTTCAATTCCTGGTCAGGGCACATTCCCGGGCTGCAGGCTTGATCCCCAGTAGAGAGCATGCAGGAGGCAGCCAATCAATGATTCTCTCTCATCATTGATGTTTCTATCTCTCTCTCCTTCTCCCTTCTTCTCTGAAGTCAATAAAAATATATTTTAAAACCCCGGTGATCCCACTTCTGGGCAATATATCCTAAGAATCCCAAAACACCAATCAGAAAGAATATATGCACCCCTATGTTCATAGGAGCATTATTTACAATAGCTAAGATCTGGAAACAGCCCAAGTGTCCATCAGTAGATGAGTGGACAAAAAAGCTGTGGTACATTTACACAATTGAATACTATGCAGCTGTACAAAAGAAGGATCTCTTACCCTTTGTGACAGCATGGAGGGACCTGGAAGGTATTGTGCTAAGTGAAATAAACCAGTCAGAGAAAGACAAATATCACATGATCTCACTTACATGCAGAATCTAATGAACAAAATAAACTGACAAACAAAATAGGCCCAGAGAAATGGGTGCATAGAACAGACTGACAGAGCTCAGAGGGGAGAAGGGTGGTAGGGACCAAAAGAGATTAACCAAAGAACCTATTTGCATAGATGCATAGCCCATGAACACAGACAATAGTGTGGTGAAGGCCTGTGGTGGAGCGGGGATTGGATGGAGGGGTTCAAAGGGGGAAAAGTGGGGGACATATGTAATACTGTCAACTAATAAAAAATGATCTTTTTAAAAACTCATGGACTAGAAGGGAGGAGATGGGATCAAAGGCTCTGTCATGATAGGTGCCTGCAAGGCAGGAGTGTGTTGGTGGAGAGATGTTAGTTAGAGACAGGGGTGTTGAGGAAGTTCAATGAAGAAGGTAAATTCTTCCGAGGGAGCGAGGGGGGCACAGTTGAGTGGTGAAGTCTTCTCATACCTGCAGAGAAGGATGGATAAAACTAGTGGAAAGACAGTGGGATAAGGGTTCATGAATGTGTGGTGGTACCATCCCACCCTGCACACCATTGATCAAAGCCTACACAGCCCCACAAAGGAGGAACTTCGGATTTCATTACTGGCGTCTCTGTGTTGTTCCTTAACACTGCAGCAGAGCATCCCAGCAATTCCATTTTACCCGCTAATTGTGTTCTTCCTTCTTCCTCATATCTCCTGTCCTCCAAAGTGTATGGATTTTCCCTCTTTGGGTTAGTTTAGATTATTGGGGAAGAAGAAAGCCATCTAATGGAATCCCCTCTCCTGGGCTCTGTGGTCCCCGGGGTTGGCAGGTAGAGTGGGGCTTCAGAACAGGTCCCACGGCCTTTCCAGAGGGGGGTGGGGGGGGGTCCATCTGTCTGTAAAATTCTGCAAGTCTTCAAACTTGGTCTACTCAGACCTGAGGTCTACTCAGTGAAGAATGGACTTCAGGGGAAATTGAGCATAGAAGTGAACCGAGCATATAAGCATTCTGCCTTTGTGGAAGTTAAAGGATTATCACAGTCACGAAGCGTTGGGTGACTTTCCATTTTAGAACTCTAGTCAATAGGTGCATTATGAAAAACTGGACACATTGCATCACTGTGAAGGACTTTAGACTGCGGTTTGCGAAAGCAGAATAAATTTTCTTGTAGTTGTACCGTTATGTACACACACACACACACACACACACACTCACATACACTCTCACACGCCCATTGGCAGACAAGGCCACACTCTCACGGCT